AGGCATGAAGGTGGCTGTATCCTGATTGTGCAGGTGTTACAGAAGTTCCCAGGGATAATTCCCATGCCTGGGCACCAGCACTAGTACGTGGCTCCACCACCAGGCAGATCTGTGCTCCTAGGAGAACACTCCTTCCTCTTCCCCAAGCTGCCCACACAGCTGATGCCCTGGATGAGAATAGAGGGAGTCAGAAGGGACCATCTCAGCCCCTTTTACAGATGAGGACACTGAGGCTTAGCAGAGATGGCCTGAGCAGGGAAGGGAACCACAGCCTGGCTCACAGCCCTGCTCTCTGCACACTCACTGTGCTGGCCAAAGTGGGAGAAAGTTCCAACCCTGTCCTTGAAACTCTTGTAAATCTTGTATTGTTCTCTTTTTCAGCAGTAAGCATTAAGAAAACTCACAGGGAGAGGTGGGCTAGCTTTGCACCCCCAGATCAGACAGATATGCAAACATCTTGTAAAGTGTTGAGCCTGTTCCTGGAGGGCATGGCTCCTCACATGTAAGAGCATCAGGAGTCTTTCCCTGTTGTGTGGTGTTGCTCCTTCACTGAGCAACCTGGGGCAGGAACCTGGACAGAACAGAGGGGCTGGACAATCCCAGCAACACTGGGCACCCCATTCCTGGCTCTGCAGACTGGGGATGACTGGGAGGCACATCCTGGAGGGTGTTTTGGGTCCCCTGAGCAAGAGTGCATATTCTAGACTCAGCCATCGGGACCCCACATCTTCCCTCTGTTGTAACAGAGTTAGCAGGTCTGGGCACCCCGAGTGACCCCTCCCCATAAGTGCTTGCAGTGGAGAATCTCAGAGGGAATAGGGTGGCCGACACTGTCAGGCTGGAGAAGGTGAGACCCTTGCTCTCTTGTGGATGAAACAGCTGGAGGCCACAGGAAGTCCCCTGGGAGGCAGTGAGGATTGAGGAGCAGCCCCTTTGTAACTGGACCAAAGTGGGTTGGCTCCTTGGTGAGGTAGAGACGGAGACTACCCAGGGGGAGCCCTGGTACCCACAAAGTTGTCTTTCTTTGTACAGATAAGGGATCACAGGGAATAATTTCCAAAGCCCTGATGCTAAACAGGGGCAAGCAGGCTCTATTGGTTAAGGTCGAGATGAATATTCCGAGGGGGATTTTAACAGTATAATGAGGCTGAGGTTACTGTCAGCCATTTTCTGATTCATCTGCTCCTTTCCACCTGCATTTCAGTGATAAATTCTAAGCAAAACTGCTTGTGTTCCCTTACTTGCCCCTCCCTGCAACCCCGGGAAGGAGAAAGGCATGCTGTCCCATGTCACAGAGGAAGAGCCACGCGGTGCCACGACCACCCCTCCCGTGGACTGGCCAGCCTGGTCCCGGCTTCCATGGGGGTCCCGCCCCACCCCTGCTTCCCCTGCAGGGACTGCTGCACAGGCTCTCTGAACTCAGTGCAGGGAGGTGGCTAGGATGGTTGATACCAAGAGTGAGACCCGCTAGAAA